GATGTTATGGGGGACTGTGTCAAATGTTCTACTTTTATTACTTGCTATCAGACATATCATCTGTTCTCTCAAAAGCAGTTCATTTATGAATTGATTCCAGAAAGTTAGCATCTTAGTTGGGATGAAATATCCCTAATGTCTGATCTGAGAAATACCCAGGTGCTTTACAGGATAAGAGAGCAACATTCCAAGGCAAATTAAAAAGTCAAACTGGGGGATCCTTTAGCTGCTGCTTGATAATAACACAAAGATGCTCTGATCAAAAAGTCCTAGTCCAAACTCAGAGTATGTCTAATTACCCATTCTCAAGCTGTGGATGGTATGTCCAACATTCTCTGAAGTAGCTTTTTGGGGTTGCATTCCCTATTTCAAGAAAAGCTTTCTGAATATTCAGGGCTTTATTCTGTGTGATTTAGCACTGGCAACAGATGCTGAGCTAACAGGTTGGTGTTCACTACCTACTTACACAAAGAATAGGCATTCATTTCTCTACTCTAGCTTAGAAAGAAAAAGAGCCTGTGATGTAAAAAACTCCTCTTTTTATCAATGTCCATCTCACCCTCCACTTCTCTAAAGGAACAAAATAAAACAAAACAAAAAGGTATTTGTGAAATACATCTGCTCATTCATTCTGAACAGATCTTGACTTTCTGGACCGCAGCTCAGAAGGGATGCCTTCCTACAAGGGATGCAGTGGATCCAAGTCAGCAAACTAAAGGTCTACATCTCCACTATTTCCATGTTGCTATGGAGAAACTTAGAAGGGGAGAGGGAGGCCTGATGTGATTACACTGTTACTTTAGCGTTTAAGTACCAGCAACCAGGAAAATGCACACACAGCCACAGTGGTAGAAAGGCTTGGTTATGCAGGCAACAGTGACACACATGCAAAGAATCTCATCCTGCAAGCTGATCCAAAATCAACTTGACAAAGAAAAAAAGAGTTCCTTCCTGGGAAAAGTTAGCCTTCTTCCCTTAGGGGCTCCACACCATTTTCATCAGCCTGCACCAAACATAACACCTCCCGCAGAATCTCCTTCTTGGTTTTATCACGTGTGGTTGCACAGTCCCTAAACAGGCCAAGGCTCCACATCTTCCCACCATTTTAGCTCTACAAAAAGCATGTGCAGTGCTTACGTATTTCTCAGACCCACCACTCAGCTCGCAGCTACCATCGGCTCAACTGCAGAGATGTCTGTTTTTCCTGACTGGATGTTGGAGGCCGATGGAAGGACACGGGAGGCCTGCAGCCTCTTGAAGTTGCTGTTTTCTGGCCAAGCCAGCTGGTAGGATGGGACTCTGGAGGGAAGCCTCTGCTCTGTAGGCGCGGGGGGTTTCCTGCATATGTTGAGCAAAGCCTTCAGTTCTGATCGGAAGCTGTCATTGAGCCAGCAGTAGATGAAGGGGTTGTAGCATGTGCTGCTCATTGCAAACCAGTGAAAGGCAAAGTACAGGGCATTGTTGGTGTCGATGGTCTGGCTGGAGAGGAGGACGACGTAGCAATTCAAGGGGAACCAGCAGACTGCAAAGAGGATGACAACAAGCAACAGCATCTTTATGGTCTTCTTATTCTTTTTGCGAAGGGCGAAGTACTGCTCAGTGGTGACGTCCCCAATGACATTGCGCAGCCAGAGCTTCTTGGCCACTGTCACGTAGGCAGCAGAGATGACCAGCAGAGGCAGGACATAGAGCAAAATGAAGGTCATTAAGTCGAGGTACTTCCAAAAGAGGTCAGCAGGCTCAGGGAAATCTGGCAGACACAGGCACCGGGTAACCTCCTCACTGCAAGTGGAGATACCAGGCAGGGGTTGAGAGCACATGTGGCCAGGCACCATGGGAGCAGTACATCAGAAACAAGGGAGTAGGTGGGAGTGGGGTCCCACATAAAGCCTGGAGGCAGACCCTTTGTTTATGCACATGCCACAGTTAAGCAGAGCTCTGCTGTCCAAGTGTTTGAGCCATGGAGCAGCCTGTGAGCAATGTGGTGATAATTTGTCATGGGCATTCATGACCTTACGATAATTTTCTGAATTTCATCAATTACAAAGTTTCCAGCTGCACAGAAGCAGGTTTCTATTCTCTGTCCTTTGGTAAACAGAAACAGCCTCTGCACATATTAAAGACCTTTCCCTCATTAAAGCACTTTCCAAATAGGAAGACTCATGACATCATTCTATGGAACAAGCAGCTGAGGCAGATATTTTCACTTTCCTGGGGCTAAACAATGGATTAAAACCTGTTAGGTTTTAGGTTTTCCCCATTTCTGGTCTGCCCAAACAGGTCAGATCGGTACAACATGTAAAATGCCAGTGTACAGAGATAGAGGGTCCAGGGGAGATTCTCTAACTTCCTAGCCTGTTCCATGTGATTAGTATGAGAGAATAAAGATAAAATAGTGAAAATAGAAACAAGGACAGGATATCAGACGTTGCAAAAGGAATCTGATAAAAATTATAACACAGATCCATATTTGGCTGACCTCAGGCCTTTCAGTAGAAGTTGCCAAAGTATGGTCACTGAAAGTTTGGCCTCCAAGGAGAGCTGAGGAAAGCAAAGTACATCCTTACCTGTATTCAAAGGTAAAGAGTTTTTGGTAGATAGCATGTGGTAGAGAGAAACAAGTTGCCATGATCCAGATTACAGAGATGTAGATAACAGCTTTTGCAGTAGATATGCGAGGTTTCAGAGGGTGCATTATAACCTGCGAAAAATAAACCAGTATTAAGGCTTATGACATATCAGAAAATATTATTTTTTTTCATATGTTCTTCTAGTCTTCTATCTATTATCAATGTGGAAATTCAGTGTGCAAGTAGCACAGACTCCACCCAGCTCCCACTGACTAAGTTGTACATAAAAGCCTGAATTTTTCCTCCACAGAAATGGGTAAAGTGAAATCCCAGTTCTACCCTCAAATTTTTGTATTTGTGCCTAGGTGTGAAAAACTGGGTACCGGACAGTCTTGCACACTTGTTCATTTCCAGATTAAATTTACTTCATAGGAAAAAAAACAAACAAACAAACATACAAACAAAAAAAAAACAGAGAGGAGAAAATAGTGTCAGACTCTTCAGTATTGGTGACCCAAAGAAAGTTTGTGATTTAACCAGACCTCCCTGGGGATGCATCTGACAGCCAGTGCATTTCCTGGAAACAAGAAGCATTCTAGCAGAAAATGTCAACAGTTTTTTGTGGTTGTTGGGTGACTCCAAACTGATAATGCCCAAGTGTCCCCAGTTTTGAGCCCATTATCAACATTAAGCCATAGTTCTGCTCATAACAAACACCAGTGTGCTACAGTCAGCTCTCCAGTATTCAGGGCAACAAGGAGTGAGATGTCCCAGAGCAAAGGGACACAGAGCTGCAGAAGCTAAGTGGGACATCCCTACATCCATGGTGCTGGACAAACCACCCTGGAGGAGAACTCCCCACACATATCCCAATCAGGACCTTGTACTTTCTTCACATTTGAGGGCTACTGAATTATTCATGATAGAAAAGCCCCCATTCCCCAGCTAGAAAAAACTGCAAGGCAAAGGACATCTCCCACCTTGCTGCAGGCTTGAAACTGTTCTTTCCATCTGACAGCAAGAACTGCTCCTCTGACTTGTCAGCTCCTCATGCATCTGACATTAATCTGGGAGCTGAGAAGGCAAGGACAAGGGCTCATCCTTTCTAAAATGAATGATGCCTTCCCAAGCTTTCCACCTGTCTGGTTCAGAGAGCTCTCACCTGGTGCCTGTCCACGGCAATGGCTGTGAGGGTCAAGGCAGAGACGTGCAGGGAGCAGTACTGTGCAAACCTACTGACATGGCACATCCCCTTCCCGAACAGCCAGGTACTGTTCACAAAACGAGCCTACAAGCAGGACACCATTAGTGCTGTGCAGCCCCACACATGTCCTCATGCTTACAGATATTTAAGACACTTCTGGCCCAGAATTCCTTGTGCTACATAAAAGACATTTTTGACATAGTAGGTTCTTTATATAAATTGTACCATTTTCTGGCTTTTGAACCCTGAAGAGGCAGGATAGTGCTGCTCAGTGGCCCAGCAATATCCTCCAGGACAATACACCAGTGCAGTAGCAAAAATGATTGTTCTGTTTTATTCAGTGTGTCCTTCTGCAGCCCAATAACTGACTCAATACTTTTGTTTTTCACTTTTAAGCCCTCCTCACAGGATAGGGCTGACCTATTAGCCTTATCTTACTTTAAAGCAATCTACATGTTTTCAACACAGCTTGTAAGACAAAGGTGAGCATTAATCTTTTTTTCAAGAGGTTCATTGTATTACCTTGGAAATACTTCAGAGAAAGGAAGAAAAAAAAAAAGACCAGATATTACAAAGTGTTAAGTAATCACTGTGAGGTCATTATTGTTCAAGTACTATCAGGGCCACTTCTAACAAATGGGTAATTTCAGGTCTTCAGCTAGGTAAGAGGAAATAGAGAAGAAAAAGACGTGTGGAGTTTTCTGTATCACTGCAATTTGGGCTGGCTGGGTATCTGCAGAACATCCATGCACTGCCTACAGCGGTGTAAAGAAGAAAAGGCCACCAAAATAATTGTGATGCCTTTAGGGCCCCAGTCTTACCAGTGTAAAAGGTGTGTTGAGGAGGGTGATCATGATATCAGCTACAGCCAGGTTCACAATGAACAAGCTGGTGGCGGAGTGCATGCGCTTGGTCTTGATGACAACGTGACAGACCAGGGTGTTGCCGAAGAGGGAGAAGGCGATGATGAAGGAGTACGCTGCAATGAGCAGGGCTTTCACCGTCATGCTCTGAGACTCTGCTCCGTACCGGCTCCTGTTCACAAAGCTCTGCCAGGCGGCCAGGCTGTCATTATCCCAGGAAAAGAAACTCGAGATGTTTGTGATTGCAAAAGTCTTTTCCAGACTCCTGTTGAGAGACAGCATTCCTGGGGTGGCAAAAGCGTTAACCAAGAGCCAGACAAACCAGGACGACCCCTCTGAAACGCGGCTCCGCTCCTCCGACTCGGAAACGTCTCCGCTGCGAGAGAGCAGAGACAGCAAAGACAGCAGAGACAGAAGAGCTCACGCCGTCTGTCCTCTCCTCACGCCGTGTGTCCTCTCCTCGCTCAGCCCAGGCACGCTCGGGGCCGCAGACCCGGCGGGTGGGTGCTCCTGCTCCCCGCAGGGCGCTTCTCTCCCGCTCGGGCTCGCTGCTACTTTTGCTCCTCAGCCAGCTCTATATCCCGGGTTGCTCCGAGCCGGGACCTGCTGCAGCCAGCGGGCTGCACGCCGCTGTTTCTGCTCTGACGTGCCGCTGTTCCACCCAGTCGCTCCCCCGGCGCTGCTCCGAGATAAGCAGTCTGTGAGAAAGGCAAAACCATCTCCCCATCCCTCAACATCCTCCTCCTCCACCAGCAGCCCAGCTCATGCAGATCCCATGCTGTTTACAGACCAGCAGCGTGTGCAGCTGCTCCCGTCTTCCAGGACACGGTTCAAATCGAAGCTCAGTTTGGAAGGTCTGGCAGGCAAGCTGCAGCCTGCTGCACAGCATGACACCTACTAACAAGTACAGAACAGGGGTGCAGCAGATGCACTGTGAATAACAAGCTGACTTTCTGTACTTTATTCTCCCAAACACCTCTTTTCCCTCTCAGAGAGACAGAGAAACAATTAAGCCTTCCCTTGTCATGGATTTCCTCCTGACCAAGGGATTAAAACGTTTGCTGTGAAGCTATGTTTTCTAGGGTTTGCAGAAATACAGAGGTAGTTGCAAAGAGGAGATCTATATGGGACAGAGGACAGGATGTCCCAGCACAGTGAGTCCAGTATCCAAAGCAACAGGCATCTGTACGCTGGACCCGAGCATTGAGGAGACAGCAGCATGTGTGCTCCCTGTGCCTTCCCCAGAAAAACACAGCAGGGAACCTAAAATCAGTGTCAGGAGACCAAGAGCCACAAATCCTACACAGCACAGAAAGATCTGCCCCTCCACAAGTACACAGGTACGGTGCTGCCCCTCTGCTGGGGACAGATGTGCTTGGGTGGTGTCAACTAACCCCAGGCAGAGCGGGTTTTGTAGATAAAAGGCTTTACCTAACCATGAATCAAAAGAACATTATCTGAAAAGCTTATATCATAAGCTGGTCACTCACTGGTGACAAGAACACTTCCAGAATCATAGAATCATCACAGAATGGTTTGGGTTGGAAGAGACCTTAAAGATACCTAGTTCCAATCCCTTGCCATGGGCAGGGACCCCTCCCACTAGACCAGGTTGCTCAAGGCCACATCCAGCCTGGTGTTGAACACCTCCAGCGATGGAGCAACAACTTTCCTGGGTAACCTCTTACTGTGTCTTACCACCCTCATAGGGAAGAACTTCTTCCTTACAGCTAATCTAAATCGACCCTCTCTGAGTTTGAACCCATTACCTCTTGTCCTATCACTACAAGCTCTTATGAGAAGTCCCTCTCCAGCTTTCTTGTAGGCCACCTTCAGATACTGGAAGGCCTCAGTGAAGTCTCCCCAGAGCCTTCTCTTCTCCAGGCTGAACAACCCCAACACTCTCAGCCCATCCCTGTAGGAGAGATGTTCCACCCCTCTGATCATCTTTGTGTCTCTCCTCTGGACCTGCTCCAACAGGTTCATGTCCTTCTTGTGTTGGGGGCTCCAGAGCTGGACACAGGACTCCAGGTGGGGTCTCACTAGAGCAGAGCAGAGAGGTAGAATCACCTTTATCGACCAGTTGGCCATGCTTCTTTTGCTGCAGCCCAGGACACAGCTGGCTTTCTGGGCTGCACTCACACATTGTTGGCTTGTGTTGAGCTTTTCATCAACCAGCCCGTTCAAGTCTCTCTCCTCAAGACAAGGACAATGATTAGAACTGTGTGTTTGTAGTACCATCTTTTTACACATACCTGGTCACATTTTTCTTCTGAAATGAAGGATGTCACCATCTTTATCTTCTACATAATTCCAGAACTGCTGCAGTTTAACACTATAAACAAAGCCACTGAACATTTGACAGGGGACTGAAAAAAAATTGTGAAAAAATTTAGAAAGAACCTTAGATATGTCTATTAATCCTATATACTGTGCTAAAATCTTTCTCTAGTATGTGCCTGCAACACTAAAGTTTAAGAGTCCCTTTAAGACCTTAGTGAAACACTAAACTATACAACTTAAGTCTCTATAACAGAACAGGTTTAATTTGGTGTAGCAGGTTGACCCTGGGGGGGTTGCCAGCTGCCCACCAAGCTGCTCACTCCCAATCAGGACAGGGAGAGAAAATTAGATTAAAAACTCATGGAGCAAGAGAAATGCAGTTCAATGGAAAAAAAAGAAAGTGTGAAAGGAAAGCATAAACATATTTATTCTTTCTGACACACCATCTGGTGACATCCAGCCACCTCAGTACGTGCAGTGGTTGCTTTGGAAGCGTTAGTAACAAGTGTGATCTCCTCCTCCTCCTTTCCTTCAGCTTTTATTGCTGAGCACATCCCATGGTATGAATATCTCTGTGATCAGTTTGGGCCAGCTGTCCTGGTTGTGTCCCCTCTCCCAAGCCCTGCTGGCCTTTACAGTGGCACTGGAGAGACAGCCTTGATGCTGTGGAGCACCATGCTGCAGTGGCCAGAACTTGGGTGTGATACCACCACCCTTCTGGCTACAGCTACAGAGCACAGCACTGTATGGGCTGTGATGGGGACAAGTAACTCCACTCCAGCCAGGCCAACACGTGTGGACAGCAACGGAGAGCAGCAAAGTGTTTTAAAAATGCCAGTCCCTCAGATTCAACATAGTCCACACAACTGACATTATTTACTTAACAGAAATAGTTTATTTTAAAAAATAATCTAAACCCTCATCTTGAAGGGTATTTACAGCAGCTTTTTAATTGCATAGGTAATATTATAGCTTGGAGAGCACTTAATGAAGGAGCCAGACTGGCAACTGACTCACTGATCCCTTAAGTGATGGGACTGCTTTGTGAGTAGCTGCTAAGCTCTACACTAGACACTTGCAGATCTCGATCATTGGTTTGGAAGTGTTCAGGAAGCTCAGGGCTCCTTTGGGTTCCTGCTACAGCACGTACAGGTAAAGGAACTACAGTCACGTTCCAGGAGAGCCAGAGAAACGCAACTGCTCAATCCTGTCTCCTTGGCACACCTGCATCAACAGATTTAGTGCTTCTCTGACATGCTGGAGCTTCAGCTGAGGAACATTTCTGGCCTTTGTCTTTGTTAAAGGCCATAGCTTTAGAATCCACTTTTTAGGGAGTGGGGTGTACAGATGTGGAAAGAGAGGAGAAGAAGAAATAGGTCTAAGTCTAGGTTCTTGGCTCCTTCAACAGGAGTGGTTCCTCCCCTGTGAAATCAATGCTGTATTTTAAAAGCCTCATTGGGAGAGCATTTGGAAAATAGTGATGACATTTGAAGAGGGTTACTACAGCAGTGGGCTGAGGAAACAGATACCTAAACAATGTTGCAAGGTTTTGGAAGCAGAGAGGCTAGAGGGACAGCTTCTAGAAGCTTCCCTGGAGTCCCATGGAGCCAATGCCAGCTGGATCCAAGATGGACCTGGCCCTAGCCGAGGCTGAGCCCATCAGTGACAACAGAAGCACCTCTATTTAAGCAGAAAAAGTCCTGTGTGGCAGCTGTTGGAAGATAGGAGTGAGAATATGTGAGAGAACCAACTCTGCAGACACAAAGGTGACACTATGTGGACACAGGGGCAGGAGGTGCTTCAGGCACTGAAGCAGAGATTCCCTGCAGCCCATGGTGAAGACCACGATGAGGCAGGCTGTCCTCCTGCAGCTCATGGAGGGCCTCACGCCAGAGCAGGTGGATGCCCAGAGTAGGCTGTGACCCCATGGGGAGCCAGTGCTTCTGCAGGCTCCTGGCAGGGCCTGTGACCCTGTGGAGGGAGAAGCCCACGCTGGAGCAGAGTTTGCTGGCAGGACTTGTGACCCCATAGGGGACCCCCACTGCAACAGTCTGTTCCTGAAGGATCACAGCCTGTGGAGAGGACAGGCACTGGAGCAGCTCATGAAGAATTGCAGCTCGATGGAAGGACTCACACAGGAGAAGCCCCTGGAGGACTGTCTCCTGTGGGAGAAAGTCCACGCTGGAGCAGGGGAAGAGTGTGAGGAGTCCTCGCCCTAAGGAGGAAGGAGCAGCAGAGACAACATGAGATGAACTGACCACACCCTTCACTCCCTGTCCCCCTGCGTCAGTGGAGGGGAGGAGGCAGAGAAAATGTGAAGTTGAACCCAGGAAGAGGGGAAGGGTAGGGGAAAATTAAGATTTTTTTATTTCTGATTATCCTACTATGATTTGTTTGGTAATAAATTAAATTAACTTTATTCCTCATTTTGCCTGTGGTGGTAATTGCTGAGTGATCTCTCTCTGACCTTATCTCAACCCTTGAGCCTTTTGTTATATTTTCTCTCCCCTGTCCAGCTGGGGAGGGGAGTGATGGAGCAGCTTTAGTGGGCACCTGGAGTCCAGCCAGGGTCAGCCCACCACAAATGGCAACTAGAAGAAAGGTAAGAGGTAATGTCCTGCCCTTTACTGGCTCAATTGCTTTAGTCTTCAAGCAGCATTCCTTGTGAAAATGTAAGGGTCTAGGCCTTGCATCTTATTTACAGGGTGAAAACTGACCACACAAGTCTTTGGCCCTTCCTGAATTACAGAGCAGAATTCAGTCCCATACATATTTAGTAACTGCAATAGTGGGTTTAGTTCTCCTAGCAGAATTTAAAGCATTAGATCATTTTCCAGCTTTAATACTGAAAACTGTATTTTTGGGGTCAAACTATTACTCTTTAGAGTTTTCAACTGTATCTGTAGAAAACTGCACACAACTACAAGTTTCGTTATGCTGAGTCCATGGTCATGGCCATATCCATACTTGCATACCACTGTAACAAAATTCAAGCTCAAGAGGCGAAGTTTTCTATAAAGGTATGAATGTTATTTACA